AGTATGAAAGTGTAGAATAGAGATAACCAATCTTACATCAGCACGTGCCTTATCACATGGCCACGAGGTTTTCCAATATGTTGAAAATCCACAAACGAGGGCAATATGGCCACTCTTCCCCATCATTGCATACATGCATATATACATAATTAATTCAATAAATCATATATATATATATATATATATATATATATATACACACACACATACAAAAAGATGCTTCATGGATGCTTGAGCGTTCACTAAACGGTATCTATGCGTGCAAGCAAAAAATTCAGTGTGAGCTAAATTAAGCAGTATCATATGTGTTATGTCATTCGAGTGTGTGACTCATACGACCCGAAAATGGAACTGTTTTGACCACCGGTTTTTGGGTCGACGGTTACAAAAATTAAAAAAAAATAAAAAAATGGCCAAAAACCATTGAACGGGTCAATGGGTCGACGGTTCGACCACCTAGGTCAATGGGTCGTGACCGAATCAATGGTTTTTGGCCAGGGACCGGGACTGGGGTAAAATGGAACCAGTTGCCTGGACGCTTCCTAGGCCAAAATGTCTGACCGTCCGGGTCAACAGCGGTTCGAAAACCATTGAACGGGTCGACGGGTTAATGGTTCGATTTCCCAAGTCAATGGGCCGTTGAATGATTCAACAATTTTTGGCCAGGGACCGGGTTTGGGGTAAAACAGAACTGGTTCCTTCGACAGTTCCCGAGCCAAACGGTCCTACCGTCCGGGTCAACTAGGAGTTCTCGATGTGAAACAATGGATAGTTATGAAGTAGAACTTAGAACTATCACTATATGATCATGTTCTTTTATATGAGATGCTTTACTGAAGCAATATTTAACCCTATCCAAAATTAAGTCAGGTTTAGACTTTGCAACCCTAACCCAATCCAACTTTTACAGGTTGCATTTGGGTTAACCCAGCCCAAGTGACAGCCCTATTCCCTGCATCATGACTCATGAAAGCCGCAACAGTAATGGTGCTGAAGGACGGCCAAACTTTTTTTAGAATTTTGTACCCTCTCTTGAAACCAAGTTTACTATGATGTGCCACGAAATCAAAACCTTGGATTGAACTCTCCCCAACCCCATTTTATTTATAAGACATCTATATCTACATGACAGTGAGTTTGGATCAGCTACCAACACACAGTGACAATAATATCCTAATTAAACAACCATTGCAGTCATACATCAGGAACATCTCCCCAGATGACAAGTGAGATGTTCCCAACGTGAGGTTGCAGTGGCTAGTTGGGACTTGGTTGGTAGTGTTTGTTGGTAGCAGATCCTTACCCCTTGACAGTACAATGCTTTTGAACTAAGCATCTTTCTATTCAGTTCTTTGTGGTGCAAATTTGAAGCACATACAAATTTTACACCTAGTTCAGTTTTGCATTCATTTATTTGTATAATTTGAATTAACAGAATGCGATGGCTGTTCAGTTGGTTGTGGCCCCACTATGAGCATTGTGGATCTCATGTATTTTATTACTGGTGTGGAAAATTATCATTGATTCCAATAAGGGTGGCAAATGGGTGGATTGGGTTGGGTTGGGTTGGGTAAGAGTTGAATACCAACCCACCCATATTGACCCACCAACCCACCATGATATGACCCATCATCAATGCTTGTTAAAGGGTCATAATCCTAACCCACCCAAGGTTCAAAGTATCGACACGTATTGGCCCGTATCAACCGATATGTATCGTACTAGTGGCTTCTTGATATGCCCCTACAAGGGTTGTATCGGGTCAACCACTAGTTCAGAGGGTAGTCAGGCCTTAAACCGACCCTTCTGAACTGATTTCAAAAAAAAAAAAAGTAAAACATAAAAAAAGCACTGACACAGACCGATACGCCGGTACCTATGTCAAACCTTGGACCCACCCATATTGACCCTTACCTATCCTCACCTATAAATATAGAAACGGGTCGGATTGACTCATATACCCAAAATAACAACTTTTAAGAGAACCAACTCTCTCGAGTATGCCATGTGGCAGAAACGGATTGAGTCGACCCATATACCCAAAAAATAACAGTTTTAGAGAGAACATCTCCCAAGGCTACCACGTGGCAGAAACGGGTCAGACCAACCCTATATACCCAAAAATAGCAACTTTTAAGAGAACCAACTATGTTGAGGCTGCCATGTGCTATAAACAGGTCAGGTCAACACATATAGCTGAAAAATAACATTTTTGTGAGAATCATCTCTTAAGACTATCACGTGGAGGAAACAGGGTCAAACCAACCCGTGTACCCGAAAATAACATTTTTGAGAGAATAATCTCTACCAAGGCTACCACGTGGCAAAAGCAGGTCAGGTCAACTTGTATTCCCGAAATGCAAAAATTATGCAAAAAAAAATCAAAAACATTGCAAAAAATGCAAAAAATACCAAAAATTAAAAAAAAATGTGAAAAAAAACAAAAATTGCAAAACTTTTGTAGAAAAATCAGAAAATTGCAGAAATGCATGAAAGCACTAGAAAATGTAGAACTTATGTAGAAAATTTGTAGAAAATTCAGAAAATTACGAAAAAATAACAGAAAATTGCAAAAAATGTAGAAAATACCAGAAATTTGCATAAAATAGCAGAAATGCAAAAACAATGCATAACTTTTGTAGAAAAATTGCAAAAACAATGTAGAAAATACTAGAAATGCATGAAAACACTAGAAAAATGCATAAACTGTGCAGAAAAAACACCAAAAATTACAGAAAATGCAAATAAATACCAAAAAATTGTAGAAATGCAGTAAATGGTATTAAGAATAGAAAAAAATCAAGAAAATTGCAAAAAAGGAAGTAAATACCAAAAAGATGAAGAAAATGAAGAAAAATACCAAACAAATACAAAAAATTGCAGAAAATTGCAAAAATTATGCAAAAAAATTCTAAAAATTTTTAAGAAAATGTAGAAAAATACCAAAAAATTGCGAATGCTACAAAGAATACAAAAATTATAGAAAATATAGAAAATAGCAAAAAATTATAGAGAAATTAAAAAAATGCGTAACTTTTATAGAAAAAACAGAAAAATGCAAAAAATACCAAAAATTGTAGAAAATGCATGAAAACACCAGAAAACAAGAAAACATACCATAAAAGCATGGCAAAAAATGGTAGGAGGAAGCCTCGACCTTTACTCAAAAACCTTCGACCTGAACAGAGACTTTCGAATTACTGAAACCAAGGATTGAAGTATTGGTATCGGGTATCGAGTATCATATTGAATAACATGGATACACATGGATACGCTAGGGAAATACATACAAGTTTTATAAATACATTAATAACACTAAATTTAAGATCAAAATAATGGCAAAATAGTATATAAATACATGGAAAATGTAAATTTTATTGATATATATGAAGAAATATATTACAATTAATATACTTGGATGTGTAAATACCATATACTTTTATTTATAATGGATCAATCAAGAATCTAAGACACTAAACATATGCTCCTATTATATTTTAATTATTATTTAATTTTTAAAATTAACAAAAAATCAACTCAAATTAAAATATTAATTAATAATTTATAAAAATATAATCTTAACTTAGAGCATGTCAGATTTGTTAAAATTTCTAAGATATATATCATATACAAATTCATAGTTTTTAATTACTAATATAATTATTCCATTATTAATATTTTATTTCTATAAATTTTATGAAATATAAATCATTTTTTCAAAATAAATGTAGATTTAGTGGATTTGATAAATATTTTATTCTTCAATACTTCTATTCGTAATATTTTTATTTTTAATATTTTGTTATTACTTATTAATGTGAATTAAAAATTAGTTAATAATTTATAAAAATTGTAAGATTTATATCATGTGCAAATTTATAGGTTTTAAGTATTAAAATAATTATTCTATTATTAATATTATATTTGTATAATTTTTTTGATATTAAAAATCATCTTTTTATATAAATGTAGAATTGATAGATTACTTATTCTATTAGTTTATAAAATACTATTTTTTTTTTATTTTTAGTTAGAGTTGTTAAATATAAATATATGTTTTTTTTTATTTAAATTGCATGTAAACACAAAAGTTAATAAATCAATTTTATTCACTTTTGATCACAAAATGAATTGTAGCTTGGTGGTTGGAATTGGAGCAAGATGTGGACATGCTAGGTGGTCCTGAGCTTGAGTCACCCTAAATGCATTTTTTATGAGACTTGGCAAAATCATCGACCCAACCCATCCTGACCCTAATGGGTACTCTCGACCCAATCCACCCTACTGAGTAACTGATGCTAATGGGATGTTCGACCCATATTGACCTACCAATAAAATGGGTGAATTGGATTTGGATGGATCAAATGAGTTGGGGTCAAGATTACCCGCCCTACTTTCATAACCCACTTGAAGAGTCATCACGTTCATCAACTAATCGTTCCTCTTGTTTGTAATTATGGTTTTGACAACAATTGCACTCTTAACTGATACACAATTTGTACTTTCTTTCATTTGCACTCACTAACAATAAAGATTTTACTTTACCACCTTCCTCTTACCGTAGTTCTCTCGGTGAGAATGGGAGCCACATCATCTTTCTTCTTACCTCACCAACAAACAAATAACTTTCGTCTTTACATTCTCTTTCATGAAGGTGGGAATCATATCATTTGACAAAGTCAAAGCTGAATCCAAAGTAAACCAAAAATGCACTCAACCTGTTTGCACTTTGCACTCCCACGCATTTATTACCACTCAACCTCTTTCGATTTACTAATCTTGCTTCAATTAATCTTTGGAGACCTGGAGCGCTTATTGGCATTATTTTATTAACTAACAGCAGAAACGGTAGGAAAATACAGTCATAATCACTTCTCAATTTCTTCTTTCTTGGGCAGATTCTGCTGAAACGGCTCATCGAATATAGCCGTTATTGCTTTCCTCAGCTTTAAAGTTTAAACTTTAAATATCAACTCCCCCTCGCTCCACCCAACCCACTCTCTCTCTCTCTCTCTCTGCACAATGGCTAAAGTTGCTCATTCTCTTAACATTCTCTTCCTTTTTGCTCTGCTTTTGTCCTTCGGCTCAGGTACTTTGTCATTTCATGGATTTCTGAGTACAATCTTTTCGTTGGTTTGGCACTCATGTCTTTATTTCCTTTGGTAATTTGGTAGGCTCACTCTATGATAGTACTACTCGTCTAGGTACTTGATGAACCAGAAGGGTTTTGTTTAGAAACCTTGCAGCACTGAAAATTACTCGCTTTTTCCTTCATTTCTTCAACCCCGAAGTGTGTTAGAAAAATTTAATTAGTTTTCACCAATCTTGTTTATAAAAAAAAAAAAAATGAAACCTTTTTCAGAAATGCATCATGAAATCTGGAAATCTGGATAACAAAAAGAAACAAAAAATTGCCCAACTCTGAACTGGAAACCTCTAGCCTTTCTGCAAATATCGTTCTCGATGTGCTGTTTTTAGTAGCAATATTGCTCCAGGTTTCCCGTATTACTTAGATCCGAACTGGGTTTTCCTTAAAGCTATGTTTGGTTTGAAGGAAAGAATAGGGAAAGGAAGGGAAATGCAGGAAAATCTATACAAGATTTGTAAAAGTTTTCCTTCCTTTCTTTTCCCTACTTTTTCCTTCAAACCAAACATAACCAAAAATTGCAATTTTCTAGCGCATCAACTTTAATTCTGCAAGAGTCATCTGATTTGAAGTCTCGAACCAAGAATTTGCCACTCTTCCGTCGCTTACTTTTAGATCTGAGCTGTATTTCAGTAGCTTTCTGCTTTTGGTTCAAACATTAGCTCATATTTCATAAATCGGCAAGGGAGTTGAATTTTATTTGTATATTTAAAACCCATTACAGTCCAAAACTGAACTTGCACGATGAACTACTATATCACTTGTCAAAGATTTGCATTTTGATCTCTCTCTCTCTCTCTCAAAATGGTGAATTTATTCATCTACTTGTTTACATTTGTTGCAGGAGGAAACCTGAGATTGGTCAATGGACAGGTAATCCAAGAGCACTGCAAAAGAATATATACACCACAAGAGAGAGGGAACATCCTTCTGAACTAACTTTTGTACAATTCTCAGTGTGTGCAGAAAACCTGGTGTGTGGCAAAACCTTCATCAGATGAGGCAACTCTACTTGCAAACATCAACTACGCCTGCTCTCAGGTGGACTGTCGAATTATGCAAAGGGGTTGCCCATGCTTTTCCCCAGATAATCTCATTAACCATGCCTCCATTGCAATGAACCTTTACTACCAGTCCAGGGGCAGGAACAGATGGAATTGCGATTTCAAGAACTCTGCACTCATTGTTACAACTGATCCAAGTAATCTACCCTCTTTCCCAGTAATTCAAGAAGAAAAATTACAAGAATCAGAACAAAAAATGGGATGTTTTGTATGCAGAATGCATTGTGTTGGTATTAATGGTGGTTTCTTTTGTTCTTTTTGCAGGTTATGGTAACTGCATCTATGACTTTGACTAAGATGCAAAGCAAAATTGATGAGTTCCAGTTTGTTTAAGCTGCTTCTTGAACTATGGTTTTAACTCGGTAGATGTGATGAATGCAGAGGTGTTTGGATCCTCCTATATATTGTAGAGAATAGTGAAGTTGAGAGTGTGACTAATTTTGCATTTTTTTTTGTCTGATTAACATTTTTTTCTTTTTGTCATTCACTCTTTTGGGTTGTACTCTTTATACCCGTATTTGCTAAGATTTATGGTTCTGTTTGGCATAAGTGGGTGTATAACATCATACCTGTTGAGAATGTGGTTTTAAATGAACTATTTGATTTTGAGATTCCATTACACTGTACACTGGAAATGCCTCCGAATGGGACCTATTCTGTTAATTTTTCCACAATGAGCAGAACCAAGTTGTTGAATGTTGAGTTTTGCCCAAAACAAATAAACTGAAATCAGATTCCTATAGGGAAAGTTCACCTGTAGCTATTACCATATTGGACCTGCAGGCAAAGCAAAGAATGACTAGAGCTGCTTCAGGAAAGAGAGTATAATTTGAAAATGATTTTGGTAAAAAAAAAAGGGTTTTGAATGATCAACTCAATTTTCATGATGGAGGCAGATACTGATATGCTTTCACCCAACAGCTCCAGTGCTGATATGCTATCACCCAACAGCTCCAGTGCTGAAGATAACATGAAAACCGCCAAGAAGCTCTTGTTAAATTTAAAAACCAAAAAAAAAAAAAAATCGAAAAGGAAAGAAAAGTGTTTTTTAGTTTCCTCAATAGCAAGCTATTTTTGGGCTCCAGTGGAACAATCCAAATGGTATACAGAAATGGCCCAACTCCTTGTCCGGGTCCCGTACATGTACTGACTCCATTGGAGAGAAGGATGAAAGTTCTAATCCTTATGTGTCTCTACGTAAGGAGCCACATTTTGGATTAAATTTTTCCAACATATTTCATGGAATTAACAATAAATTTAAGTCAGTCCAGCATTTAAGACAGTCCAGGCAGTTAAAATATTCAGCTAGGTAAACTTTGAGTTGGAGGACCTGTCATGTCAGCATGGCTTTACTTCCTCCCCTATTATTGAATTATTTTCTGATTTTTTTTTAATTTTTATTTTTAAAAGAGAAAATTTTTTAAACTATCCTTATGATTTAAGCTAATTAACTAACTTACCCTTATTGTTTACATATTGCCTTAAAGTACCTCTACTATTTAGGCTCTCCTTTCCATTCCTCTCTGTCCTCTCATTGTCTCCATCTTTCCCTTTCTCCCCTCTTCAGAGGAGTTCACATCCCCACCCCACAAGGGGCCACCCCACAACATCCCACAAGCACATCCCCGTCGTGCATTGGGAACATCTTCCGATGATAGTACCAGTGTTAAACAGTTTTGTATGCCCTTACCTTCAATCAGAATGATGTACTTTATGAGTTTACTGTAAATGAATAAAAGTGCATATTTGATTCATGTTCCCTTGGTATGTTTCTGTGTAATACTCTTAAATTGGACACTTAATGAGACTCGTGTTAGTTTAGAATGTTTACAGCCAGTGGATTGGTCTGGGGAGACCTATCCTGATCAGACTGACACTGTGGTGCCACCAAGTCAGTTGGGGTGGCCTGTCTCAACTGCCAGGGTGAGACCCTAGGCACATACAGTGTAGGATTAATTGAATCTATGAACTGGACTAGATTTCCAGTATTGCCCTGGACCTTGGAGATTGATGGGCAAAACTGGAAAGTTACACCCGACCCCTAGACTCGATTATGATACTGCACTAGGTGTCGGATTGGGCTGTCTTTGATGTACCAATCAGTGAGATCCTTAGCGGGGGTCAAAACCTGGGTATGTTGGGACAGTCCGAGAATTCATCTGAGTGGGTGATCATAGTGACAGGATCAGCCCCTTTGTCGGACAAAGGTAATGATTGGGGATGCACTCTCACTGATGGAAACCAAGACTGCCGGCAGCCGATTTCAACCGTTGAGATTTGTTTTGCAAAATATATTTTATATGAGATATAAAAGTATATATATTATGGTTTCTAAAATGTTTGCAAGAAGGTTTTAATTCCCGGGATCCATATAAGTAGAGAGTGCAACACTGTTCCTTGCAGCCGAGGGAGAGGTCCTCTCTTGTCGGGCAGTGTATGATCATTATAGGCTGAGAGGTTAAGTGTAAGACCATTGAGGATAATACCTGATGGGCTAATCTTGCATCTGCCBACAGTCCCTGGGTGTTACAAGGTGACTTGACCCAGGGACCACTTAGGGTAAGTGTTGGGCCCATAGAGCTCATTTGATGGGTTTTAGGGAGTACACTATCCATAACAGTGTATTCGGCTAAGCCTTATGACAAAGGCTGGGCTGAACCCATGTGGCTGATGTGTAGATCAATGTTTGGGTCCCACGCCATACAAGGAAGCCCAACTGGGCAGCAGTAAGGAAGGTTAAGTGAGTATATAAGCCTGATGGGCCTAAAGCCCATTTCGAACTGGGCTATTTAATTAGTTAATTGTGGGGCGAATTATGAGATGGATTAGCTGATAGGATAGGGTCTTGACTCTATCCACTTAGAGAGTCCAGATCTGAATGTGATTCAGATCTAGAAACCTCCTAATGAGATTAGGAGAAAGTTAATCTAATCTTCAGATAAAATAAGGGTTTATCCTTATCACCTAAAGAGAATGTTGATCCAAATAGGATTTGGATAAGTAGCTCCTAATTGGATTAGGAGCTGATCTTTTAGGTTAACAAAAGAAGGAAAGGGTGGCAGCCTTTTAAGAAAAAATTCATTCAGATCCTCTTCAGTGCTGAAAAATACAGAAGAAAGAATTAAGCAACCTTGCAGAATTCTTTCTTGCCGCCTCCCTGTTCTTGCCGCCCTGTTTGCCAGTTCGATCTCCAATTGTGGGAGAAGTCAAGATTCGATATTGACATCAGTTCTTTGAGGAAGAATTGATAGGAAGCTGTGCTCACGTGCCATCCTGCTGTTTCTTGCGAATGATAGAGTTATTGGAGAAGAACACTGCTGATTCTGCTCCATCCTGCACTGCGCCATTTTCAGTGGGAGCAGTCTTTGGATCATTTCTTGGGCGTGAACACCTTCGTTGGGGGATACTATTTCTCCGTATCAGGTATAATCCTCTCCTACTCCTTTTGGTTCAAATCTGGTTCAGTTTATGATTCAAGAATGATCCTTGAAAATATGATTTTCTAAATAGGGAATGTGATTCTCAGTTGAAGGGAGAGAAAAAATTTTTAAATTCGCCCCCTTATTCCGCAATCTTTGGGCGTCCATATGATGGATCTCTCTTCCCTTCAACCAGAACTGATGAGGTCATCATCGGAGATGTTTCCAATACACGGCAGGGATATATTGTGGGACGTTGTGGGGCGGAGATATGTACTCTCTTCAGAAAGAGAGAGATGATTGTGAATCAGTGAGGTTGTCGAAGAATTCCTCCCAGAAATACTCAAAAACCCAACAGAGACAAGAGAGAGATGGTCGTGAATCTGGGAGGTCGCCAAAGAATTTCACCTAAAAACCCAGAAAATATGTTGTAGGACGAAATTGCTGATCACCGAGTGAGGATGGGGAAAGCCCCAAAAATTTAGATTTTTTCTTGTGGGAAGCAATGACATTGCCTTCGGATCCTTCTGGTGGTTCACATACGCAGGGATCTCGTGGATCCTTGTTCTCTTAGGAGGAATCATGCCTGCCCTCGCGTTAGGACTGATGTCCCTCGGTCATGGCAGTAAAATCCGAATAGAGGAAAAAAATGCTCCATTTCTCAAGTTGTCCCTCGGTCACATTGTCCTTTTTCTGTGTGTATTAATAAATGGAAAATAACGGGAAAGTAAGAAGCCTTCAACGGTTTCATCTCTCATTAACTTACCATTAACTCCCTCTTCCCTTTCTCATTAAATCCTTTCATTATCCCTCCTCATTAGTCACTCCATTAACTCTCTCTCTCCTAAATAAGTCACTTTATTAATTCTCTCTCCTCTCAATTATTGCAATAAATTGCTTAAAATTTATTCTCTTTTTGTCTTTTTTTTTCTTTTCATTTTACTAGTATGTGTGTATGTGATTCTCAGGTGACAAATTTTGTGATGATGATGATAGTATATAATATGTTTCAAAACTTTTTACAATTTTTTTCATATTTCGCTGTCTATAAAATTATTCTTATTTGTTATTTGTCCCAGTTATTATGGTTCATTAATATAGAGATATACCCAAATGTTTTCCACCCAGTTTACATATTTTTTTGTATATTTTTGTGTTTTATCTTTTTAAAGTTTTGTTATTTAATTATAACTTCATGAGTTGACACATTTGACCTGAAATATTGAATTGATCTATAACTAAATAGGAAAGCAATTGCACTTTTGGTTTAGTTTTGAATTTTATATTTTATTTATATCATCAATAAAAAATTAAAAACGATCATGTCTAATTTTTAATATGATCAATATAAAATATTAAAGATGCGTCCAACTGTATTCTATATGTAGAGTTTCTATCTTTTTCATATTTTTTTGTAGTTTTGTCTTTTTTAATTTTTATTATTTAATTATAAAATCAATGACCGACACATATGACCCAAAAGATTGAATTGTTGATTAGCCACCAGGAAAACAATTTCACTATTGGATTGGTTTTAAATTTTATATTTTATTCCTAATATCAATATGAAGTAACTATTATTTATCACACTTATTTTTCCTTTAATATGATTAATATAAAATATTAGATAGGTACCTAAATGTTATTTACAAAATTTTTGTATAATGTTTTTGTGTTTTTATATTTTTTCATATTTTATTTAATTATGATACCAACGGTTAACACATTTGACTCAAAAGGTTGAATTGTTGACCCAGCACCACAAAAATAATTTTTATTTTGGGTTGGTTTTAAATTTATATTTCATTCCAACTTCAATAAGAATAATTATTATTTATCACACTTATTTTTCTTTAATATGATTAATGTATGTATATATATTTAAAAGTTTTTAGTTAATTATGACATCATGGATTAGCTCACTTGGCCGTGATGGTTGAATTACTTACTAACCACCATGATGGAAATAAAAGGTCCATTTTGGGGTAAACTTTTAAAAACATGTATTTTATATCATTAAATGTATTCAATGTAGATATAAATGATATAATTTATTAGGGGTGCTCACAGTTTAATTAACCAAATCGTGGGCATTTTTTTCAAACCAAACCAGTGGTACCGGTTTTTGGAAAACCAATAGCTGAAACTAAACCAAAGTCGATCGGTTAACTACCAATTTGATTCATTGGTTTTTTTATTTTCATAGTATTATATATAATAAATATAAAATATTATATTATAAATAATAAATAATATATTATATATTATAAATATATATTTATAATATAGAATACATATATATTCATTTATAATATATAGATAATATAAAATAATATATGAAAAATATATATAATATAAACATATGTATATCGGTCGATTCAATTAACTGCTGGTTTTTTATACTGGTTAACCAAAATTGAACCAGTTAATTGGAATTTTTTATTTGGTTTCATCGATTTACTTCGATTTTTCAGTTTTTCTTGCTCACCCCTATAATTTATTTGTTTTTATTTTGTGAAAATAATATCTTAAATATAGAATAAAAGAATAAGAACTAATACCCTAAGATAAGATTTAATGAGAGGGAATTGAATAAGGATAAATGTAGCAGTTCAAATTACATTTTGTGCCTTCACAATTAGAGAGGGACCAAATTCAAAAATAGGGGTATTCTAGTCAAGGATAGGATTCAATGAATGTTAATGAGAGCTAATACTTTAAATATGAGACTTGCTGAGAGGGATTTGAATGAGGAGAAAGTGGTTTTTCAAATTACATTTCTGCCCTTAAAATTAGACACTGACCAAATTCAAAAATTGGAGTAATTTACTCAAACAAAAGTTGCACACCGTTATTCACTCTTTTAATAATACTATAGATAATCATTAAATGAAAATTGTAAAATGACATTTTTTCTATAGCTCATTTTCCAATTATTGAACAAAAAAAGTACTTTTGTGTCGTTTTATCAAATAAACATTAAATGAAGATGTAAAATAATAATTTTGCCTTTGCTTGTTTTCCAATTCAAACTTTAGAAAGGAGTTATTTGTTGTCCAATGAAAATTCCAAAATCTAGGGAAACCTATTCACACTTTTATAGATAGTATATATCTCCCCTATCCTCATTAATCTAATAAACCAAAAGCAATTTTCTTGGTGATAATTTCAGTCCGGCCTAGGCTCGGGTCCACATGAGGCCCACAAAAGCAATTTTCTTGGTGATTATTTCAATCCCATCCCTTCCATCATTATCCTATTTTAGCATATTTCTATAGGCATTTTTTCCATTATTAGCCAATTGTATTCCAAAGAGAGAGAGAGAGAGAGAGAGATTTACTCTCATCAAAATTCCATTTATTTGTTTCATATTTGGGAGTGGCAACGGAGCTGGTTCGGAGCGCAGACCATACTTTTCGTCCCCAATCCCGACTTTGAAACAAATCCCTATACTTGACCACAATCGCTGTCATTGATTAAAAATGATTCTACATCCCTGATTCCTAATGGAGATGGGTTCTTTGTCAAGGAACTTGAATCCCTAAAATTTTTAAATTAAAATTATTTTTAAAAATAGATTTACTTAAAATAAGGGTTTTTAAATATAAAAATATTTAAATATATTTATACTTTGATATATATTCACTTCACATCTTCGTCCCCATCCTCAGTTAAGTATCGTTATCAATCCCCGTCATCCCCCCCCTAGGAAATCTTCGTCCCCGATCCCATCAAGTCGGGGAAGCTAAGTACTTGATGGGACGGGGAACATTGGCATCCCTATTTATATTCAAATCCTATTAATTAATTATTTGTTAGAAAAATTAAATTTGAAACCTAATAACTAAAATTCAAAAAAAAATATTAAATTTTAGCAATTTTTTCTAGAAACTATTAAAAATTAAGAAATTAATAAAAATTAGTAGTTCATAAATTAAAAATTAAAATACATTTGAGCTCTATTTAAAAATAACTAATATTAATAGGATAATTAAAATAATAATAATAAGTAAAAAAATTATTAAATGTAATAAAATAAACCACTTGCATTCCATATAAAAATTAATTAAAATAATAAAACTAATAATGGCATAATTATAAATGTCATAAGACTCCGTTTTACTTAGGGATGATCACTTAGGTGACGTTTGGCAAGTTTGTTTTGAAAGATCTTCCAAACAACCCCATTTGGCGTGGGTTGTCGGCTTTTTAGAAGCCTGGCAGCTCACTTTTCGATCTTTCTCCATTTGGTTGAAAGATCTTTCCACCAAAAGACCACACCCCAAAAAGGTGCAAGAAGCTTGATTCGAGCTTATTTTGGAAGCTAGAAATGGAGCTTCTCACCTTTTTTCGTCTTGTCTTCACACAAAAAGACGCACCTCCAACCAAATGATCTTTGGGCTGCCAAGATCATTATGTAAAAGCTCACTACGTATTTTGGTTGTCAAATCTTTGAAAAAAGACCTGCCAAATGGCACCTAATGGGCTTTTACACCACTCGAAGACAAGAGTTGAGCAAGTGAAAAATGCGAGAAGCTCCATTTCTAGCTTCTCGAAATGAATTCAAATCAAGTTTCTCACGTCTTTTCGGGGCATGGTCTTTCAGTGGAATGATCTTCTCCCAACCAAACAGAGAAAGATTGAAAAGCCAAGCTTCTAAAAAGTCAATAGCCCACACAGAAAGACACACCAAACGGAGCCTTATACTTACCTCAAATCCAGTTAGACCTACAAATTTTCGGGCTCAAGCAACTATTTTCTTTTAAGCTACGTCTAGCTCAGATCTACACCAACCCCACACATAACAAGTTTTATATTAATATATAGATAGATACTTTATATATTTTTTATAATAAAAATAAACCAAAATTAAATAAAAATTTTAATTTATAAAAAAAAATCATACTTTTATAATTAACACGAGCAAACAAGTCCTTGTCCCAAACCTAAACAAATATTGCTTGGGGTGTAGGCTGGGCTGGGCTAGGCACAACCTATGAAATTATTAATACATTGTAAAAATCCGACTCAAGATATTTTATGTTTTTGGTTCATTAAGCTACACAATGGGGGCAACCCATCCCCCATAACTCTCTCGGGTTAAATATTAATAATTCTTATCTAAAAATAGCTAAAAACCCAAAAATAATGCATGCATGGATTGTGCTTAGTTTGGTTCAATCTAATTATAAATGTCTCATTACTCTTAGGGGCAAGGTTCAAAATATTTCCCGATACACCCCTATAGAGGGTGTAGCAAGGTTTTGACTAGTTCAAGGGTGGACAAACCTTAAACCGGTCCCTCTGAACCGAATTTGAAAAAAAAAACTACTACTGATACTGCCCAATATGCCTCTACCAACATATCGGGTGTATCGATATTTTGAACCTTGCTTAGGGTGCAGCTTAGGGGGTCAAGTTGAAAATCAACTAAAACCCAACCTGAAGTCTTAAACTTCAATCTCGGGCTTAGATTAATTTAATTATGACTAAAAAGATTAATCTATAGATTAATTTAATTATGACTACAACCTAATTTTATATATTTATTAATATTCAAGTATTCTAAATATTTAAGTAACATTTACAAACGAATAACATGAAAAAATAATTATTTTATAAAACAATTAGTAGTAATTTATTATTAAATTACTAAATTACTTTTGTAACAAATTACTAAAATAAAGATTATTTATTTTAAATAACGTTTCATTACTTCCTTATAATATTATCAGTTTCGATTGTTTCACTTTTCCTTTGACAAATCCTGTGTTCTAATAACTCCACTCCATGCTTGACTGTTGTCTTGGAAAACCTGTATATCTCTTCCCTACGAAATTGAATTCCTTTGTTTTTATAGGAAAACTGGAGCTCGGATCTGCTACCCACAAGCGGTAACTCCTCGTGAATGACAACTAATATGTTCCTGATGTGTGGTTGTAGAGTCTGGTACGTAGGCTTGCGGGTAGCAGATCCAGACTCGGGTAACTCTCGAAATGCAGGTTGTGACTTATCAAGACTTGGGGGGGCGCTCAAGAAAGAGTTAACTCCGACCAAGAATAGTGGACATATCCAATGCAGTAGCAGAAGTTCATGTATTATTTATTAAGGCTTAACTTGATAACAAAGTACCCACAACAAAGTTGTGTTCTTTTATCAAGGCTTAACTTTGATAGCAAGGAGCTTACAAATGACAAACCATCCATGCACAATGATCAAGAGCTAGTTGTATAATGATTTGGCAAGGATGATCCAAATACTTTCAGGAGCAATATTTCCTCTCTCCTTGCCAGTTTGTATGCCCCCGTGTTCCTGCAGTAACCAAGCTTAAGTGCTTCTCGTCCTTCTTGTGCAGCTCTTTTTCTCACAGATGACAGCAAGCCTGTGCCTTGAGGACCAATTTCGTTCTCCCCAGTTCCTTTATCTGGCTTCTTTTCCTCAGTTGTTAGGCAACTAGAATCAGCTTTTTCTGGGGATTGTTGTTTGTCTTCTTGGTCAGTTTCATCCCCAAAGACATCATCCTCGGTACCATCCGGGCTGCTGCTTCCCCACCATTTGACAGTGATGGTTGATAAGCCATCTGTTGGGAACCCATACTTGAATTCATCCACATGGTCTGGAATTCCTTTTGTCAAGCTTGGATTCTGCAGATGCTGCGGCCGTATATTTTGAACACCACTTCCCTGCTGCTGTGAAGAGTTTGACATTTTGTTTTGAAGTTGGGAGCCACTGAAACTAACAGGAAAGAATCATAAAGAGGAAGGGAGGAATTGATAACAAATGAGAATAAAACAGAAATTATGCCATTTATTAAGCTTCCTGGGCATACTGTTCTCCATGAAGCCCCTAATAGCAGAATCTATTCAAGGAATAAATTGTTGTACAGATCAATCTTGTCAAGGGAGAGACCTGTTTCTCAAGAGAGATCAATACTCAGGATGCTCACGAAGTACAATCATCATAAGGTTTCAGAAGAAAAAGTAATTGTAGGTATAATTATTTAGTCTTTAAAAAATGAAATATAAAAAAAAGACTACGTAAAAGAGGACATCCTGCTTCTTTGGGGTTTCAAGGAACTGCTTTGAATCTTAAAATGACAGTTTAGTTTAGTTTAGTTTAGTTTAGGCTCGTGGAATATTCAGGATTCGGTAAAACCTGGAGTCAGATATCCAAGTTTTTAACAATGTCAGCATTAACAGAACCAAAATACCCAGATTTTCTGAATACCCAGAAAAATTACAGACTAATTTTATAATTTTATATGCGATCTTGGAGTTTGGTCATTGTCTCCCTTGTTTCTGTTTTTCATTTCACTTTTTTTCCATTTCCCTTTTCATAGGCTATCTTCTTTGATTCTTTCACCAAGGCATCTGCTGAGTGCTGGAATTGATAATGAATGCTTCTTTAATCAATTACTAGAACTCCTAAAAAACCTTCTTTTATCTCAATAGAAATCAATAACCAATGCTTCTTTAGCCAAGGTTTTTTACTAGAATTTCCTTATTAGAAATTCAGGCCATGATCACTCCTACTCCTAATCACTCTCTAAATCATGCCTATAGACTGACTTTAAAACTAACTAGAACTCCTAAAAACCTTCTTAAACTTGACTTGTTAATCAATAACAGATTTGACACGAATTTCTAACAAGGAATCAACTTCTGAAACAAATAAATCCTAAAATTACTAGATTTAATAATTCAAAACTCAAAATAAACAAAAAAAAAAAGGAATCTCGTCAAGATTCATCAACTGGCCAAGAATGAGGCATGACTTGCTCAATTCATGTCCAAATTGCATGATCTTGGATGTGAAGAATGGATAATTGAATAAGCTTTCTTAATGACACCAAAATCAAACCAAACAATTAACTATTGGCACATCAAATTATGGCTGCAAGTAAAGTGATGAAACCTAACATGTTCTCTTTAATCATGGCCAATGCCTTGGCTAGATTGGGAAACCAGTTGTAAATATACATTTTAATTTGACAGTAGGTAGGAAGCTAGCCTATAAGGGGTGCAAGGCACAATATAGCTGTACAACTTTTAATATCCTTGTTAGAGTTAGCCGAATAAGGGTAGATTAGTCAACTCACTTTGGTTAAGTTATGAGCTTATGTGGCAGTCTTATTAGAGGTTCTCTGTCCCATACTTAAGTAG